TTGATTTTGATGAGTGTTTTGTAAATAAAAAGCAAATCAAAATCCAATATTTGTTTAACATTTTATTTGATTAAAAATAATGAAAACATTGAAATTATTATACATTAGTTATAAAGAATAATATATTATGAAAATATTGCTTAAAACTGGAAGAATATAATATAACGTTAGAATATAAAAGCATAAGAATTGTAAATAAGTTTAAGATTATTGATGAGTATATACACAACTTGTGACCTTATGTCAGAAAGAGTTAGACAAATGCTAACTGTTTTGCCAATTAATGTATTTATTTAATCTATGATTTTTAAATGTCTTTAAATTAAAGACTTTAATGAATAGCTTATAGTAAATGTTAAGAGTTGTTGACTCTTCCTGTCTCATGTTTGAACAGCTATAACAAGAACAGCGATTCTTCGGGATTTCCCGAATAAAATTAGTTAATAGAATGTTCGGGAATAACATCCAATTAGTTTTGGAGCTTATAATGGAGTAAAAATATACCATTCTTATTTTCCCGAATACTCCCGATTTTGGCATATTTTGAAAATATTCCTGATTTTAGCCTATTTTAGAAATATTCTTGATTTTGACATATTTTAGGAGAAAAATCCCGAAATTTTATGCAAAATAGGCTAAAACTAAGCTAAAAGGCTTTTTAAGAAAAACTAAAAATATTATAAAAATGCACAAAATTTTGAGATAATGTCTAACAAAATATGTACTAAATGAGTTTGACGATGTGAACGTTTAATTCTCTCTCAATTAAAAAATATTCATACAAATAGAAGACAGACTTAAAGAATAAAACTTCAATTTCTATGTAATTCGACCTAGTATAATTCATTTTAAAATAATTTAAATCTATAATAATTGTGTTTAAACTGAATAAACGTTAATTCCCGAATTTGACTGTTTTACTCCCGGTTTCCGACCGAAATAATTGTTTTTATTCCCGAATAATCTCTGCTCTAGCTAAAACATCTCGAAATGTGAGTACACGTACAGCACATTCGTTCAAACGTTATTCAATACATTAAATATTTAGCTTCAATTCAAGTGATCGCGTATAAGATTGGCTCAATTGATGGCATTTTCAATATTATTTCTCTCACAGACATTAGACATGATAGCAATCTATGGTAATCGTAAGGGTATATCAGGGCTGAAGGCAGTCTCACTGAAAGTAAGTATGGATTCATATTACGGGTCAATAGTTGACACTTCAAAGTAAATACAGTAATAAATACTTTATAACTGTTATATTGTATAACAAATTCATTATTTAAGGACATAAATAACCAAATAATAGAATAAATAGATTTCTTTTATTAAATTTTAATAATTTAGAAAATGATTAAATATATTACATAATTATTTGAATACAAATTAAGTACTTTGGATGCGAGACATAATCTTCTTCTGCATCTCTTCATCACTTACCTGATCCAAAGTTAGTAAAGATATACCCAATTGATCCTCCTTTCAATGCAAACATTTTCAATATTAATAAATGTTTTACAAGAATATAAGAGAATACATACCCGAGTGAATGGTTGAGCCATTTGTTTAAGGAATCGTTTGGATATTTGTACGGCTTCTTCGATACTGAGATTAAGAACCGAGTCTTTAAGGTATTCCTGTATCCATTTCGGCAATTTTGTCAGTTTATCCGATCGACTAAATCGCTATACAATTCATATTAAAAACAGTTTCAACATATTTTTTAGTTCATTACATAAAACATTAGACAATACCTTATCAGCGAAACACATGATTCCGTAGTCAGTCTTGCCTCTGATGGCGCGTCCCATACACTGAGCCGCGTGTCTCATGGCGTCAAATGTAAGAAAATCATTTTCTCTGATCTGGAACTGGTCTCTAAGGTATTCGAGTCGAGCCTTTAAAATACGTGATTGCGTGAAGACATATGGAATGCCAAACATTATAACACAACGACCCAAATGGTGGTCAAAGTCGATGCCTTCCGACACCTTTCCTCTGGCGACCGACAGAAGGACAGCTCCTCTTCCGTTCTCACACGCCTTCACATAGTTATAAAGTGCGAGACTTGTCTCGTGTGAGTCTTGGGTCTCAATGAATAGCAGTTTATGTCTCTGAATGTTGTCGACGATTCCCTGTTCGTACCAAACGGACACAATCTGTTCCATATAGAGATAACTCGTGAAGAAACAGACCAAACCGTCGGGAACTACGGCCGACATCTCGACCAAAAGGTTGCCGTAATTCCTGATGACAGACATATCGTTTCGACTCTCGAACTTTGATGTGACGGCCATTTGATCGTTACCTTTGGTCACAATCATCGGAAGTATGCACTGACGCGACAAAGTCATCATCAAAGACACGGCCAACACTGGCCTGAAGTCCAGAATTTTTGGATACATTTCTAATGGCGATAGAGTTCCTGATGTAATGATCACTGACTGAAACCTCTCGAACACTGGTTTGATGGCAATGGAAGCGTCTAAACAACTGAAGTGAAGAATGGGGTTAGAGATGGTAGGCGTGCGGTCGTCGAAGGGCTCAATCAAGAGAGTGAATCCCTTGGTGTAAGTGCTGACCAAAGTGGCGAAATTGCACACAAGGGTCAGTGGCGTGAAGTCTGTGATGTCAGACACTTCCAGAGTTCGGATTAGCGAACGAAGTCTTTCGGCACAAAACCTCAGAGGTTTTCGTTCGATACAGACTTTGGTCGCAATGTCTTTGAGAAAAGCGGCCGAACTTTCTTGAGTCACGTGTTGGACACGAAGTCGAGACTTAATGTATTCGACGAGTCGTTTCAGAAATGCCACGAAATGCTCGGCGTTTCGGATATTTCCCGGAATCGCCTCTTGAAGAATATCGTCGGGCAAAACAGGATTAGCTAAGAATTGATCCGTTTCTCGAGCTATAGTCGCCTCTCGAAGTCCTTCGACTAATCGTTGATATTCTTGTTTTAGTTTCTTTTCGTCCACTTCTTTGATCGAACCGATCGTCTCTTGTAATGAACTGATATTTGCCTGACATTTGTCTAAAAGGCGTCTATTAATGGTAACACTCATGGATTCAATGCACACGTTGTCTATATTGTGCGCCTCATCGAAGACGACAACTGAGTTCTTCGACAACTCTTTGGACACAATTTCGGCGATCTTTGGGTCTAAGAGATAGTAATAGCTGTAAACGACAACATTTGCATAAGTGATGGCATAACGAGTCAAAAAATATGGACAAAAGCCTTTGGTTCGGCCGAAACTCTTCAGATCGTCAATATTGTAGACACCGTTTGGAAGCAATACTTCGCGGCCTTTAGCCTCAAAATCCTCATAATATGAGCACCGATTTGATTGACTCGTTTGGTCCGAATCCTCACTATTTTTGGACATTAATCTCCTGTGAGAAGCCGTTAAACTAAAGCACTTCCCGTCCACTGATTTTCCGTCCTTTTCTTTGCTAACCATCGGATGAATACACAGATTCTTCCTCGAAGTCAGACACAAACCGATAAAGTTATTGTTGCCATCACTTGTCGGCAGTTTCTTGTAGTATTCGTTCAATTGTCTCAACTCTTGGACCACTTTCTCGATCTCGGGAACAGTTCGCGAGCAATATATGAGTTTTGAGATATCGTTGGGTCGCTGTCTCTGATAGGCTATAATCAACGCCAACAACGATATGGTCTTTCCGGTGCCCGAAGGCATCTCCAGAAGGCCGTGTCCTCTGGCGTCCAGACATTTCTTCAGTTCACACATGTATGCGAACTGTTCCGGATATATGTAGTCGTACGGGAAACCAACAACGATATGGTCTTTCCGGTGCCCGAAGGCATCTCCAGAAGGCCGTGTCCTCTGGCGTCCAGACATTTCTTCAGTTCACACATGTATGCGAACTGTTCCGGATATATGTAGTCGTACGGGAAGTACACGTCCAGACCATCGATGTCCAACCTGTCAGGCAATGCATGTGTCAGACAATTGTCTTAAGACTTAACTAATCAACACTTACTTCATGTCAACGCTATTTGTATATCAATTTGTAGTCAATTTCTGTCTAAATGTATTCAACAAAACGTTTCAAAACATTTTGCTTTCACTTTAAATATTGCCGGCTATTCATAGATAACGTTACGATTTTATAAGTTCTTAAATGAACATGATCAATTATTGAGTTAGAATTTTTAATATTATTTGTGAGTCACCAATAGATGAGTCATTTAATATGCAGACCAAACAAAAACTATGAATAATTTGACAAATGATTTAAAATACACATTAAATGACTCATTATTCTATACAAATATTCTTAGCTAGCGCAATAATATTGGAATTGACTTTATAATGAATATTCTATGATCGTAAAATGCCGCATATAGTGGCCAAATACAAAGTTACAAATACACGCAAAAGGGGTCAACCAATTGACTTCATTTGGACAATATTCACAAAATGCACATCATTTAGAAAATGCTATTTTGTGCCACTTTGTTGTCGACCGTTCAATAAGTTTACATTTTATTAAATAATGTTTCCGATAAAGTATAGGCTTAAAGTGTGAATAATGTTTATTAATTTAAATTCAATAATCAATTATTTATGAGTACAAAAGATAAGCTGTTTTGTGAGTTACAAAATTGATCACTACTTAAGAGTTAGTTTTAACAATAGATAACTCATCACTTTTAGGGCATAATTTAGAGATGAAGTAAACAATATGTGGATCGAGTAGTGATTCAAGCCGTTCAAGCCGTCCATTTGAGACATCGGGTGTCTCGATGTGTCTTAAGACAGTTGAGACAACAGTAACGCATTCCGCAGTTAACGCACGTATAGTTTGAGACAAAACCACAAACACTGCAAAAGTGACGCTTCGGTACGAAAGCGAGCTTTTGGTCGGAGAGAGCGTATGGTTTGGGCGGAGGAGCCGTACAGTTGGCATAGAAGGCCTCCTCAGTCTTGGAGTCCTCTTCGATGAGGTTATTGATGGTAAGCATTCGAGATCCACCGTTGACTACGGAGAAGCACCGGCAGCTGCTGGTGTGCGATACCGACAACCTGAACACCAACAGAAGTTTAAACCCGCGAAAGAATACGTAGACTTCCAACCGCACGCCCAGCAGCACCTTCAAGTCCCTCTCTAACTGTTCCAATTGGTTACGTCTTCGGCGGTTGCGTCCGCTCTCATCCAACACTCTATACTGTTGTCTAACATTACTTGACTGACGACTTGATCCAAGAGTTTTAACGCTTTGTTTTGCACTCATTTTCGCACAATTTATTCAACGATTGATTGATAACTAGATTTACGTAATATTCAATTAATGTCAACGAATGAGATCTGATCCATAAGATCGTCGATTTGGTTCTTAAGACTGTCGATGATATCGGAACTCTACTTCTCTACTCAACTCAGGTTCAGGACATAATATTTAGATCACGGGTTTCGTAACCAAAGCAGGTTTACATTGTTTTTGACAAAGTAGACTCGCAGTGTAAGTTACTCATAGGGAAAGACGTCGTGAACCATACCTCCGGATCTAATCGCCACCGATTGTCCTCTCAATGGCCACTATATATCCACTTATGATCTCAATTACACAACCATTTAATAAATTGTAATCAATTTAAGCGACAATTGAATTGAATTTCATTCATAAATGATGTGAAGAAGGAGTGAATGGATTGAATGGCAAATATCTGGACGTGTTTTGTGTGCTTTGAATTGAATTAAAAATATGTCGAAAAACAATTCAATTTCAGCACTAAATCTCTTAATTCACTGTTTTTTACGCTTTTTATGTTTGTTTTGATTTCGTTATCAAAACCTTTAAATTATGTGAAAATTATTTTTGAAAACTATTTTTTCCAATCAATTGTATTATAAGTGTTAAAACGGGATATGATTTGCGCATAAAATACTCATTTATTGCACACTTTTCTGCATTTATTTATTATAATTAAAGTTTAAATCTATTTATAAAGAGATAATTGAATTGAATTAAGGCTTCATTTACCAACAACGATATGGTCTTTCCGGTGCCCGAAGGCATCTCCAGAAGGCCGTGTCCTCTGGCGTCCAGACATTTCTTCAGTTCACACATGTATGCGAACTGTTCCGGATATATGTAGTCGTACGGGAAATACACGTCCAGACCATCGATGTCCAACCTGGCAGGCAATGCATGTGTTAACCAATTGTCTTAACACTTAACTAATCAACACTTACTTCATGTCAACGCTATTTGTATATCAATTTGTAGTCAATTTCTGTCTACAAATGTATTCAACAAAACGTTTCAAAACATTTTGATTTCACTTTAAATATTGCCGGCTATTCATAGATAACGTTACGATTTTATAAGTTCTTAAATGAACATGATCAATTATTGAGTTAGAATTTTGAATATTATTTGTGAGTCACCAATGGATGAGTCATTTAATATGCAGACCAAACAAAAACTATGAATAATTTGACAAATGATTTAAAATACACATTAAATGACTCATTATTCTATACAAATATTATTAGCTAGGGCAATAATATTGGAATTGACTTTATAATGAATATGCTATGACCGTAAAATGCCGCATATAGTGGCCAAATACAAAGTTACAAATACACGCAAAAGGGGTCAACCAATTGACTTCATTTGGACACTAATCACAAAATGCACATCATTTAGAAAATGCTATTTTGTGCCACTTTGTTGTCGACCGTTCAATAAGTTTACATTTTATTAAATAATGTTTTCGATAAAATATAGGCTTAAAGTGTGAATAATGTTTAATTAGTAATTTTCAATGCAATAATCAATTATGATTACAAAAGACAAGTTGTTTTGTGAGTTACAAAATTGATCACTACTTAAGAGTTAGTCTTAACAATAGATAACTCATCACTTTTAGGGCATAATTTAGAGATGAAGTAAACAATATGTGGATCGAGTAGTCATTCAAGCCGTCCATTTGAGACATCGGGTGTCTCGATGTGTCTTAAGGCAGTTGAGACAACAGTAACGCATTCCGCAGTTAACGCACGTATAGTTTGAGACAAAACCACAAACACTGCAAAAGTGACGCTTCGGTACGAAAGCGAGCTTTTGGTCGGAGAGAGCGTATGGTTTGG